ATTCTAACAAAACGGCATTCGGCTGGGCGTGGTGGCTCAAGTCTGTAATCCCAGCACTTTGGGAGGCCACAGCAGATGGATCACTTAAGGTCAGGAGTTTGAGACAAGCCTGGCCAATACGGTGAAATCTCATCTCTACTGAAAATACAAAACTGAGCTGGGTGTGGCGGCACGTGCCTATACAGGACAGGACAAAAAAGGAAAGGACAGGATAAGGAAAGGAAAGGACAGGGATAAGGACAAGGACCAGGACAGGACAGGACAGGAGGGACAGGACGGGACAGGACGGGACAAAGCAGGGTACTCAGCTGGGCGCAGCGGCTCACAGCTATAATCCCGGCACTCTGGGAGGCTGAGGTAGGCAGGATAGCTTGAGGCCAGGAGTTTGAGATCAGCCTGAGTTTGAAATCAGCCTGAGCAAGACGGTGACACTCACTCTCTACAAAAAATACAGAAATTAGCTGGGTGTGGTATGTGCCTGTAGTCCCAGCTACTTGGGAGGCTGAGGTGGGAGGATCCCTTGAGTCCAGGAGGTTGAGGTTGTAATGAGCCGAGATTGTGACTCTACACTCCAGCCCAAGCAACAGAGCAACCCTGTCTAAAAAAAAAAAAAAAAAAAAAAAAGTGGGAGGGTGGGAAGGAAACCCATCAAGGAAAAGCCTGGTTACAGAAAAAGGAGAAGAGCAAAATCAACTATTCAAGGAAAAGGATAAGAATATTTGGAAACATTTATGTAACACAGCTATAAGGCAACATGAGACAAGATGTTAACAATGAGGGAAAACTGGATGAAGGATGTATGGGAACTCTTATCCTATTTTGCAACTTTCATTCCAAAATAAAAAGTTTATTTACAAAAAAAAAAAAAAGAATATTTGGAAATATTTTATTATTGCATGCGAGTCCAGAGGACAAGTGAGAGATTTAGAATGGAGAAAATGGGCTTTGAACTAGCAAGCCCTGAAGCAAAATGGGGCTGAAAATGTGTAAGAAGGCAACTGTTTGGAGGTGTTGGAACTTCCGGTGGTTAATGCCATTCCTAGGGGAAGATATTAATAAAACTGGAGATCCAGAGGTAGTCAGAATCTTAGAACCCCAAAGCAAATTTGTTGAGGCTGCTGAGGAGTCAGGATAAGCTCTGGGAGAGGCATGATCAAAATCGTTTATTTTTTATTTGTTTTAGAGACAGGCTTTGTCAACCGGGCTGGCATGACCATAGCTCACTGGAGCACTGAACTCCTGGGCTTAAGGGATCCTCCCATCTCAGCCTCCTGAAGAACTGGGACTACAGGTGCACGCCACCAAGTCTGGCTTATTTTTTTCAATTTTTTTGTAGAGATGAGGTCTTAACTTTGCAAAACAATTTACACACAAAGATTCCTTCCACTAGGTGCAGAACAATTGGGGAAATGGCAAAAGCTGGCACAGGACTGAAGCAATTCTCCTGCCTCAGCCTCCCAAGTAGCTGGGATTACAGGTGCCCGCCACCACACCTGGCTAATTTTTTTGTATTTTTAGTAGAGATGGGTTTTACCACGTTGGCCAGACATAATGAGGACCTGAATCAAATGAAACCTTTTGGCCAGGTGCAGTGGCTCATGCCTGTAATCCCAGCACTTTGGGAGGCTGAGGTGGGAGGACCACTTGAGCCCAGGAGTTCAAGACCAGCCTGGGCAAAATAGCAAGATCTCATTTCTACTAAAAATTTTTAACAATTAGCCAGGTGTGGTGGCACATGCCTGAAATCCCTGCTACTCTGGAGGCTGAGGCAGAGCAAGACCCTGTCTCAAAAAAAAAAAAAAAAAGAATTCTTTTGATTCAGAGAACATTTATATTTAGACGAGTCAGTTTTATTCTAGATTTAAAATTAGATTTATTTTTCCTTTGACCTAGTTCTATGGAGTTTAATAAATACTACTTAAGTTCATAGTTCAGATAAAGAAACAAAGACCAAAATGAACTGTTATTTGACTTAGAATAGAGTTGTGATACTAGAAATTCAATGAAAATTGCCAGGAGAAGTGTCAGCTTAGTAATGGAAGAGATGGAAAAGGAATCAAGACAGCCCCTGTGCTTGTAGTACACTGTTCTTTTACAAAATAGCCACAGTGGCTGGGCACGGTGGCTCACGCCTGTAATCCCAGCACTTTGAGACACTGAGCGGAGTGGATCACCTGAGGTCAGGAGTTTGAGACCAGCCTGGCCAACATGGCAAAACTCCATCTCTACTAAAAATACAAAAAATTAGCCAGATGTGATGGCGGGCGCCTGTAATCCCAGCTACTTGGGAGACTGAGGCAGGAGAATTGCTTGAACCCGGGAGGCAGAGGCTGCAGTGAGCCCAGACTGTGCCATTGCACTCCAGCCTGGGCAACAAGAATGAAATCCCGTCTCAAAAAAAGAAGAAAAGAAAATAGCCACAGTAGGTCAGGCATGGTGGCTCACACCTATAATCTCAGCACTTTGAGAGGCTGAGACGGGCAGATCACTTGAGATAAGGAGTTCAAGACCAGCCCAGCCTGGCCAGCATGGTGAAACCCCGTCTCTACTAAAAATACAAAAAAAATTAGCTGGGTCTTGTGGCACATGCCGGTAATCCCAGCTACTGGGGAGGCTGAGGCAGGAGAATTGCTTGAATCCAGGAAGCAGAGATTGTGGTGAGCCGAGATCGCGCCACTGTACTCCAGCCTGGGTAACAGTGAGACTCCGTCTCAAAAAAAAAAAAAAAAAAAAAAAATCCCCCAACAGTGGCTCACACCTGTAATTCCAGCACTTTGGGAGGCTTAGAAGGGTGGATCATGAGGTCAGGAGTTCAAGAGCAGCCTGGCCAAGATGCTGAAACCCTGTCTCTACTAAAAATACAAAAATTAGCCAGGCGTGGTGGCACATGCCTATAATCCCAGCTATTCAGGATGCTAAGGCAGGAGAATCGCTTGAGCCTGGGAGGCAGAGGTTGCAGTGAGCTGAGATCGTGCCATTGCACTACAGCCTGGGCAACCAGAGTGAGACCCTCTCTCAGAAAAAGAAAATAGCCACAGCAATATCTCTGGTGCCACATATTCTTTCAGACCCTTGCCACCCTTGGAGTAGGAGGTGGAATCAACTGCCCTCCCCTCAAAGCTGGGTGGGGCTTTGTGACTCCCTGGACAAGTAGAATGCAGCAGACGTGACACTGCATTACTTCCACTGTTAAGGCATAAAATGCAGCATGACTTCCACTGGCACTCTTTCTTGTGGAACGTTCAAGCTTTGAATCCAGCCAGCATGCTAGGAGGAGGCCCAGAGAGCCCATATGGAAAGACCATACAACAAGGCCCACATGGAGAACTGGAGCCCACTGCTGTGCCTTGTCCAGTTCCTGATTGTGAACATTAAACTTGCTCATTTCATGCCACTAAGTTTCAGGGTAACTTGTTACATAGCCATCCATAACCAGTGTTCAAGTAATTTACAACCCAGTGGGATGGATAAATAAGGATACAAATAACAAATATAAGGCAGCGTAGGGATGGAGCAGTGAGGGAAGAAGGGGAAAGGCTTCACAGCTAGGTCTTAGAAGACAGATCAAACTTTGAAGGAAAACAGTTACAACAATAACAAAAAGGAAAGTCTGGTAGAACTTGGTGACTCGGTAGCATAACATATGGACCTTGCCGGAGACAGACTTAAAAAAAAAAAAACATAACCTCTAATAACTGAACAGTATTAAACTATTTTCAGGATGCTGTAGGAAACATTATTCTATAAAGAGACAAGGTGGAGCCTTAGAGACTGACTTCAATCATATGAAATTATTACATTTCTTGCTGCTTAGCCTCTATGCAAAGGTTAAGGTCTAACCCTGACCCTAAGAAATGAAAGGCACTTATCAGTGCTTCCTTTGATGTACTGGCCAAGGCAGAAATCAGTACCTTGCTTGCTCACTGTTCTAGACCCAGTATCAGCTTAATTACAGCAATCCTCCATGGTTAGCATTCTTTAGAGTTCGAGGGGTGATTTATAAGGAGGCGTTTGTCTTGAACCAAAATGAAAAGAGCCAGCGCCTAATAAGTTATAAAAAGCTGAGTACACTCATAAGCTGCTTTAATTGCTGAAACTTATCCCCAACTTCCCTGATAAGGGCATGAAGATTATGTCTAGAGACACCAGGCTGACAACCTGAGAAATAATTATTACTTACTAAACCAAATGAAAGCATTTAGCTCTTTAGCTCTTTGAGCTGATCTGTACAAGCTGAAGCCTGAAAGGAGGAGCTCTGAGCTGCCTGCTCAGCAGCAGCTGTTTGGGAGACTCACCTTTGATTTGAGATCCCTCTCACCACATCAGATTTCCTGTAAAGTGTTCACATAGATAATCCTTAAAAATCCCAAAACTTGGCCAGGTGCAGTGGCTCGCAGCTGTAATCCCAACACTTTGGGAGGCCCAGGCAGGCAGATTATCTGATGTCAGGAGTTCGAAACCAGCCTGGCCAACATGGTGAAACCCCATCTCTACTAAAAATACAGAAATGGATAGGCGCGGTGGCTTATGCCTGTAATCCCAGCACTTTGGGACGCCGAGGCAGGCAGATCACAAGGTCAGGAGATCGAGACCACGGTGAAACCCCATCTCTACTAAAAATACAAAAAATTAGCCAGGCGTGGTGGCGGGCGCCTGTAGTCCCAGCTACTCAGCAGGCTGAGGCAGGAGAATGGCATGAACCTGGGAGGCCGAGATCACGCCACTGCACTCCAGCCCGGGTGGCAGAGCGAGACTCCGTCTCAAAAAAAATTACAGAAATTAGCTGAGTGTGCTGGTGCGCACCTGTAATCCCAGCTACTTGGGAGGCTGAGGCAGGAGTATCGCTTGAACCCAGGAGGCAGAGGTTGCAGTGAGCAGAGATCGCACCACTGCACTCCAGCCTAGGTGACAAGAGTGAGACTCCATCTCAAAAAACAAACAAACAAACAAACAAACAAACAAAAAAAACCCAGAGACCTGAGAATTTCTGTTCTCCTCACCTCATAAAACTTTTTTAAGGAGCCCACGAGGCATAACTTCAGGCTGTCCACAATCTCCTGATGCGGCATCTGGAACACCACCCGGGAATACCATTTTGTGAGGGTGCTGGGGTCAGGGTGAGCAGAGAGACAGAGAGAGGAAGATGAACAAATGCTCAACGGGGACAGCCTATGGCTTGTGTCAGTAACACAGGTTTCTCTATGAATCAATCCAACAACAAATACCTAGAAAATGCATTTATGCTATACGTAAGAACAAGTAGTGATGTGGGGAAAAGATACATTTAAGTCATATGCAGAACATAGATATGTGTACTTGTGGCCGGGCGTGGTGGCTCACGCCTGTAATCTCAGCACTTTGGGAGGCCAAGGCAGACAGATCACGAGGTCAGGAGATCAAGATCATCCTGGCTAACACGGTGAAACCCCGTCTCTACTAAAAATACAAAAAAATTAGCCAGGCGCGGCGGCAGGCACCTGTAGTCCCAGCTACTCAGGAGGCTGAGGCAGGAGAATGGCGTGAACCCAGGAGGCAGAGCTTGCAGTGAGCCGAGATCACGCCATTGCACTCCAGCCTGGGCAACAAAGCGAGACTCCGTCTCAAAAGAAAAAAAAAAAAAGTGTAATTGTGGATATTTCCTACAAAACTGCTCCAACAGAAAAAATTTAACAACTTAGATATCCACCAAGAGAGGATTAAATAATGATACACAGAATAAATTCTGTGCAGCAGTTGAGTTGGTGGAGATTTATTTGTAATGGTATGGGAAAATGTACAGTTTAAGTGCATATTAAGCTAAGGAATAATGTGCCTAGAAATATCCCATTTGTGTATATAGAAGTGTGTATGTGTATATATATCAGAGATATATATCACATGTGTTAATATATGCATAAAAGAGAATCTGAAAGTATATACACATCAAACCTTTGGCAGCTGTTAATACGAAAAGCTGGCCCATGAGGAATTCTCACTTTCTAAATTTCTGCAGATATTTGGAATGAGCATGCCTTTTTTTACAATTGGAACAAACGATCAAAAAAACCTCATTTCTGGGGGGAAAAATGCCAACAACAACAACAAGGCAGCACAGCCCCAGCCTTGGAAGAGGCCGCTCTTCAGCTGGGAAGCACATTCACACCGGTGCCAAGTTTGTTAAATAAGCTGCATAGCCAGGTGCAGTGCTCATGCCTGTAATCCCAGCACTTTGGGAGACCGAGGCAGGTGGATCACTTGAGCCCAGGAGTTCGAGACCAGCCTGCACAACATGGTGAAATCCTGTCTCTACAAAAACAAGCTGGGTATGGTGGCGCATGCTTGTGGTCCCAGCTATTTGGGAGGCTGAGGTGGGAGGATCACCAAAACCCAGGGAGGCTGAGGTTGCAGTGAGCTGTGATCACGCCACTGCACTCCAGCCTGTGTGACAGAGTAAAACCCAGTCTCAAAAACCAAAAAAAGTTGCATAAACAAATTTCACAGCCAGGCACGATGACTCACACATGTAATCCCAGCACTTTGGGAGGCTGAGGCGGGTGGATCACCTGAGGTCAGGAGTTCAAGACCAGCCTGGCCAACACAGTGAAATGCTGTCCTACTAAAAATACAAAAATTAGCCTGGCATGGTGGTACGCACCTGTAATCCCAGCTACTAGGGAGGCTGAGGCAGGAGAATCACTTGAACCCAGAAGACGGAGGTTGCAGTGAGCTGAGACTGCGCCACTGCACTCCAGCCTGGGTGACAGAGGGAGACTCCATTTCCCAAAAAAAAAAAAAAAATTTTTTTCACATGAAGATAGAGGAAGAAAGTGTTTATAAATCTTTATACTATAATACATAAGACTAAAAAGATTTGCTGGATTTATAATAAGATTAGGCACTAAAACGAAATAATTAAACAAGATGGCACTGTGAGCAGTACTTACAGATTGATGCTTGCCACGAAGCCAACCACGGAGCGCATGCCTCTACTGGGGTCATGGTAAACATCCATCCCGATTACCATTAACTGTTTCTAGTTTAGAAAACAAAAACAAAAACCAAATCCCAGACCTGAGCAATGCATTGCTCCATTTTTAATTACTGTCTGAATCGCAAAGCAACTTCCCCTTACTGTTTATATGTGAAAGTAAGTTCTGGGAAAGAAAAAAAAAAGACAGCAATCAACTTGACATTTTTTAAACACAATAAGCACAGTCAGAGATCTAGACCAGGGATCAGCAAAGGACTAAAGGGTAAATAACTTAGGCTTTGGGAGCCTTATGATTTCTGTAGAAACCACAGGTTGAGTATTCCCAAACCTGAAAAGCTTTTGAGCACCAACATGACACTCAAAGAGTTTCAGATTTTGGAGTGCTCCAGATTGCAGATTTTTGAATTTGAGATGCAAGCAAATGTCCCATATCCCCAGAAATCTAAAATCCAAAATGCTTCTGGTCCCAAGCATTTCAGAAAAAGCATACTTGACCTTTATTCAATTCTTTCTGCTTAACACAAAAGCAGTCATGGACAGTATGAAAAGAAGTACGGCTGTATTCCAGTGAAATTTTATTTAAAGACACTGAAAATTAACTTCATATAGTTTTCATGTGTCATGGAATAATCATCTTAGTTTTATTTTTTCGCCATTTAAAAACATAAAAACCAGGTTGGGCATGGTGGCTCACACCTGTAATCCCAGCATTTTGGGAGACTGAGGTGGGCAGATCACCAGGTCAGGAGTTTGAGACCAGCCTGGCCAACATGGTGAAATCCCATCTCTACTAAAAATACAAAAATTAGTTGGGTATGGTGGCGGGTGCCTGTAATCCCAGCTACTCGGGAGGCTGAGGCAGGAGAATTGCTTGAACCTGGGAGGTGGAGGTTGCAGTGAGCCGAGATCGTGCCATTGCACTCCAGCTTGGGCAACAAGAACAAGACTCCGTCTCAAAAAAACAAAAAACAAAAAACAAACAAACATAAAACGCATTCTTAGATAATTGGCTGAAGAGGCAGGGAGCCATTTAGACTACTGAGTAAGTGTTGAGAAGAGGAAGCATAATGAATAAGGAAAAACAAGAAAAAGGCTTGAAGGATTCGCTGGAGAGGCAAACAACCATTTTGGCATCACTCACCAGAGGAATATCCACTCCCCAGAGCTCACCACCCAATTTACAGTTAATCTGAAGTAAAATTTTCTGGGCCACACTCCGAAGCCTGGTGGGCTGACCAATGGTTCGAACATTGACAACCTATAATGAAGGGACCAAAAGGTGTCAGGAGAAGCAGGTCACTACCAAACCCTCAGAAAATCTGAACTCTAAAGTAAACATTACATGTTTAAGAAACTCAAGTTAGAAGGTAACATATTTCGCGTTAATAATTCTAATTCTAGGGTTTCTAGGCATGCATGCACATGGGCAAAATACAACCAACACACACACACACACACACAAACACACAAAACCAAAACAAAACCAACAAATGAAAACTTTCAAAAGGATCTCAAGCAGAGTGGAATGCTTTTTTAACTCCCATAGGAAAAATAGCTTTCCCCTTTCAGAATGAAGACTATACTCACTCTCAGAACTCAGTCATATGAAACCACCTGGTGACTCAACCTCGGAACAAGCGAAATTGTTCATTCGGAAGCATGAGGGCAGCTTATGCAGAGCAATCTGCTCTTTGCCAGGTTGCTCTAATCAGGAGAACCTTTCACCAGAAGGCTCTGCATGTACTGGCTTTTAACAGCTACTTTAGTCTTTGTGAACACACATATCACTCTTTTCAAGCCTCAGGAGAGGTGCCATCTGTGCCTCCTGCCCCAACACCCACTCACCTGGGAGGGCACTGGGGACTGCACACAGCACAGCTTCTTGATGGCCCCATAGAGATCATCACGTGTGCCCATGATGATGCAAACAACCATCTGTATCTTTCCCTTGAAGAGATAAGGTATATACAAGTCAGGCTCTGGAACTCTCTGGGGACTTTCACAGGACTCTAGTTGGCAGTATTCTGAGTATGCAAAGCCATAGGACCTTTAAGGAAGACAGGGAACTGAAATAAAGAGGGTGGACATTCCAACCAGAACAAGGTCCTTGGAGTTGAATTAGCATTCTTTGGCTCAGGGCTGTTCTGAATAGATAGGTAAAATGTTACTATTAATTACCCAGAGCTGGCCCTGATTACCAAAAGATTTATCTATTAGGAGACTCAGATGGCTGGAAAAGGACTAGGTTTGAATGCATGCAAGGTTTACATTACTTGCTGCTTCCAACTCCATATGTTTTTTACTACTCTCTTTGGTTTACTAAACAACTTGTTACATTCATGCCACAGAACTTTAACTGAGGAAACAGGGAATGCAATACTACAAGAAAGCATTCAGAACTAAATGCAAATTGGAAAGAAGCTATTGCCAAATCCATAAGCAGCCACTCCTAACTTTCTGGTGAAGAGACAGGATGATATTGTCAGCAGCACAGCACATGTCAGTATCATCTATCCCTCACCGCTGAAGGGATCTAATACTGAAAAAAGATGACCTTTCAAAGTCTGACTAAAGAAAAGCAGCATTCAAGCGAAAGAAGATTGCCAACCCTTTATGCCAGAAACTGCTACAAATGGTAAATCAGTGGTACCCTGCTCCATATCAAGATTGGTGTGATGTTAAGACCGTTCAGAGGACACATTCAGCAATGACACCAAAGCATTTCCAAAGGCATGAGAACAGAACTGCGCACTGGGAGCCTATGGACTGGACACAGCAAACAGGTGTGTTTTTTCAGGCCCTACAACGGCTTAAAAGTGTTTGTTTCTTTAAATTAACATTTAAACATAGGAAGACACACACATATGCAATTCCAGGTTTTTGGCCTTTATTAACAAACAAGCACGTGAAGAATCATTTTGGCAATCCTGAGTTTATATCTCCAGTCACAGGGGTTACCCCCTTCAGTTCATTTAACTCTCCTCCTGGCCTACTTCACTAATTTATACTCCTTATCAGGCTTCTGGAGACATATGAGTTTTTGATTCCTCATACAGATGATAATAGAATGCCTTAAAGATGAACAGAGAGCAAGGCCACTTTAAGTTGGAAAGCAATATGAATGAAATTCACATCCATGCCACATGAAAACTGTCAGTTGTACCCTCTCAAAAAGGGAACACAAGAAGTTGTGAAATGGGGGAGCTGATGTACTGCGCTGGGTTATTCTTTTGAAAGCAGAGCAGAACTTTTCTACGATCAGGTCAGAGGAAGACCATGGTAGAGTATGACAGGCATGGTAGATCAGGATGGAATTATAAAGAGAACGCACAGGCTGGGTGCCGTGGCTCACACTGGTAATCCCAACACTTTGGGAGGTGGAGGTGGGGGGACTGATTGAGGCTGGGAGTTTGAGATCAGCCTGGGCAACAGAGGGAGACCCTATCTCTACAAAAAACTTAAAAATTAGCCAGGAATGGTGGTGTACATGTACAGTTTCAGCTAGTCAGAAGGCTGAGGCAGGAGGATCCCTTGAGCCCTCAAGTTGGAGGTTACAGTCAGCTATGATCTTGCCACTGTACTTTAGCCTGGGCAACAGATCAAGACCTTGTGTCTAAAAAAAGAGACAGAGAGAGAAATACACCAAAGAAAGAACACAAGTGTGCTGTTGTGAATGATATACCAAGAGTGCCAGATCAAAAAGAGAATGCTGCTGGGCATGATGACTCACGCCTGTAACCTCACTGCTTTGGGAGGTTGAGGCAGCAGGATCATCTGGGGCCAGAAGCTGGAGACCAGCCTGGGCAAACAGTGAAACCCTATCTCTATAAAAAATTTTTTTAAAATTCAGGTGTGATGGCCCACGCCTGTAGTTCTAGCTACTTGGAAGGCTGAGGCGGGAGGACTGCTTGAGCCCAGGAGTTTGAGGCAACAATGAGCTAAGATTGCACCAGTGTATTCCAGCATGGGTGACAGAGTAAAATGCTCCCTTTTTTTTTTTTTTTTTTAAAAAGGTCTCACTCTGTTGCCCAGGTTGGAGTAAAGTGGCATGATCATAGCTCAATACAGCCTCAACCTCCCCAGGCTCAGGTGATTCTCCCACCTCAGCCTTCTGAGCAGCTGGTACTACAGGTGCATGCTACCACACCCAGCTAATTTTTAGATTTTTTGTAGAGACAGGGTTTCGCCATGTTGCCCAGGCTGGTCTCAAACTCCTGGGCTCAAGCAACCCGTCCGCCTCAGTATCCCAAAGTGCTGGAATTACAGGCGTGAGCCACTGTGCACCCAGCTGACCCTATCTCTTAAAAATTTTTTTTTAAAAAGAACTCTATGATGCCAAGACGACTGAATTCTAGGATTGAACTCACCAGAACAATTTACCAGAATCTTCAATTCAAGGGTTAATTACTGCCAAAAGCCTTCCCCTTGCTTTTTTCTCTCCCTATTCTCCTTGTTCTATTTTACTTACAAACAGGTAAGAACTGAAAAGCCTGAATAACTAAGTTGTGAGTGCTATGACCTGGCCAGCTCTAGTGTTCCTGATCAGTCATTAGGACCTAATCAATGGGCCACCTGCCAAGTTCATCACCAGAGTAATTGTAATCTTGAACCAGGCCAGACTGAGGCAGCTCAGTAGCGAATCGTGCAAGACGGCACCTAACCCAAGCAGCTGCTTTCTGAACACATGTTCTATAGATAATGAACCACAGTTAAGTCAGCTATTCTCTCAGCCAGTTACGTGAGAAAAAGAAGACTGGAGTGAGGGTGCCAACATAGAGTGAGAGAAGCAAAATTAACCAAAGGGCATAAAGAACACTTTTCAATCAGTGTTTCATGTGCACACAGGGAAGACAAGCTCTGAGGCATTATCAACAGCAGATGGATAACCATGGTAAGTTAAAATTAAGTATTTAAGTATTTTAAAATGGACATCCTATAAATGTATTTGAATTACATTTTTACCTCAGCTCCTAACATGGATTGAATGGTTCTGACATAGGTCTCTATCCGGTCATCCTTTAGTTCAACCCAGGCCGGTGGGCTCATATGCATGCCAATGGGGCCAGCTATCTTCTCCAACATGTTGACCAGTTCTCGAGCCTGATCCATTGCTCTCTTTGGGTAAAAAAGTGCCCAGAAATGCATGGGGATCTAGGAACAACCACAAGCTACTTTTAGTATTTCTCATAATTTAAACATCCCAATCTCACACTTAAGATTTCATTCTAGAGAATAAATTACTTTCACTCTCATTGCTTGAATCCTGTCTCATCTAACTCCTATTATTAACATGAATGTACATGATAAGAAAACTGGTGTAGTCTCAAAATGGAACGTTATACAGTAATGAGAATGGAAGAGCAACAACCACACCTAATAACAGGATGAAACTCACCAACACAAATTTAAGAAAAGAAGCCAGACATGGAAGAATATATAATCTATGATTCCATGTGTATATAAAGTACAGAAATTGTTGAAACCAATCTGTGCTATGAGAAGTCAGGACAGTGGTTACACTGGGTGTGTGAGGGGTAAGGGACAGGCAGTAACTGGGAGAATGGAGGGGGCTTCTGGAGTGTTAGTCAAGTTCTGCTTCTCAACCCTTGGTGTTGATTACACAGGTCTATTTAATTAAAAAAAAAACTCGGCCGGGCGCGGTGGCTCAAGCCTGTAATCCCAGCACTTTGGGAGGCCGAGACGGGCGGATCATGAGGTCAGGAAATCGAGACCATCCTGGCTAACACGGTGAAACCCCGTCTCTACTAAAAAATACAAAAAACTAGCCGGGCGAGGGGCCGGTGCCTGTAGTCCCAGCTACTCGGGAGGCTGAGGCAGGAGAATGGCGTGAACCCGAGAGGAGGAGCTTGCAGTGAGCTGAGATCCGGCCACTGCACTCCAGCCTGGGTGACAGAGCAAGACTCTGTCTCAAAAAAAGAAAAAAAAAAAAAAACTCATCAAGTTATACCTTTATAAGTGTGCTTTTCATTTATATTTCAATAAAACATTTAAAAACATGCATTTTATATATCTGTTTATATATATCTGGCCACGAAGTCCATGTTGGTTAAAAATACAGAGAAGTAATTACACCATATTGTACTTTGATACAAATAGTTAGTGTATTATTAGTTCCCTAGGTGAGGTACTGTTTTAATCTAATTTAATTTCTCTCATAGATACAAACACCCTCTAGATACTCCCAGGGAAAGAGGAGCAAAAGAGAAAGAAAGAAGGGAGAGTGGGTAACAGGTTAGCACTATGTGAATTACCATAGCAATTTATTTCCTTTTCCTAAGTTTGTGGGCAGGCAAAGGGCTTACCTCTAACAACTCATCAACTGCTCTGTTTAAAGGATCCCTGTTTAGAAGGTAATTCAGAAAGGGGATTCAATTGGCATTTTCTCTCAAAAAGAGGACTCTAGATCATTCCTGCTTCCTAATTTCCACACTTTGGGGAATACTGGTCCTCTCTTTATCACTTCAAAAATCACTTACAGTCAAGATGGAAGGGTCTCTGGTTACTTCCTTAACCCAGTTTAGTTCCTGAGATGTGATAAATGAAGTATTTTTTAAGTTAATTCTTTCCATTGGTAGAACACGTCCTTCAATCTAAACAGAAAATAAACCATCTATGACATGAGCCATTTCAAACACTATTTAGAAAAACACTGCTACTGCTCTATGAGGCCTGCTCAGCTCCACCACAGACACTTGTCCTATTAGAACTTTTGAGACTAGCAGAATAATAAAGTTTCTAGCAGCGAAAGTCTCTGTCAATAAAAACCTACATTTACATAGGTAAAATTATTATAGGTACTAGTCTTTCAATATTGAAGCTTCCACATGATATCCCAAGAGAGGGATTTGAAAACATTGTCTATTTACAACCACTGAATAAAGGAAAACAATCTTTAAAAAATATTTTAAAGGGGCCAGGCACCGTGGCTCATGCCTGTAATCCTAGCATTTTGGGAGGCCAAGGCAGGTGCATCATCTGAGGTCGGGAGTTTGAGATCAGCCTGACCAACATGGAGAAACCCCACCTCCACTAAATACAAAAAATTAGCCGGGCGTGGTGGCACATGCCTGTAATCCCTTACTCAGGAAGGCTGAGGCAGGAGAATCGCTTTTGAACCCAGTAGGCAGAGGTTGCAGTGAGCTGAGATTGCACCACTGCACTCCAGCCTGGGCAACAACAGCAAAACTCCGTCTCAAAAAAAAAAAAAAATTGGCCGGGCGCGGTGGCTCAAGCCTGTAATCCCAGCACTTTGGGAGGCCGAGATGGACAGATCACGAGATCAGGAGATCGAGACCATCCTGGCTAACACAGTGAAACCCCGTCTCTACTAAAAACACAAAAAATGAGCCGGGCGTGGTGGCGGGCGCCTGTAGTCCCAGTTACTCAGGAGGCTGAGGCAGGAGAATGGCGTGAACCCGGGAGGCGGAGCTTGCAGTGAGCCAAGATCGTGCCACTGCACTCCAGCCTGGGCGACAGAGCGAGACTCTATCTCAAAAAAAAGAAAAAAAAATTTTTTTAAGGGAAAAATTGAAAGGAGAGTATTAAAGGCAAAATTTCTTAATAAGGCTGAACAAAGACTACTATTTTATATTATCCCAGACAAAAGCTGAGGGGAACAAGCCATAAATATAATAAAAAGTTTAAATTATAATAATCAATTAGACCTAAATGTCCCAAAATAGCAAGATAATTAAGCTAATAATACATCAGTATGATGGGCTACTTTGTGACCATTAGTTACTTCCCAACTACATGAAATATGATCCTATTTTTGCACAAATAGTGTATATACGTCATGAAAACTGAATGAGTCCAAACTTAGTAGTGATTACCTCTGGGAGAGGTATAATTATGTAGGATTTTTACTTTTCATAATTTCTACTGTTTGCTTTTAAAAAAAACATTTTGGGCCAGGCGCAGTGGCTCACGCCTGTGATCCCAGCACTGTGGAAGGCTGAGGTGGCTGGATCACTTGAGATCAGGAGTTTGAGACCAGCCTGACCAACATGGCAAAACCCCATATCTAATAAAAATACAAAAATTAGCCAGAGGTGGCGGCAGGCACCTGTAACCCCCAGCTACATGGGAGGCTGAGGCATGAGAACCATTTGAACCTGTGAGGCGAAGATTGCAATAAGCTGAGATCGTGCTGCTGCACTCCAGTCTGGGCAACACAGTGAGACTCTGTCTCAAAAAAGTATTTTTATCTAAAATAAAAATGTTGTAATGACTTTCCTAATAACGTAAAAGTCTACTATTATTATTATTAGAATTATTATTATTTTTTTTTGAGACAGAGTTTCGCGCTTGTTGCCCAGGCTAGAGTTGAATGGCACAATCTTGGCTCACTGCAACTTTCGCCTCCTGGGTTCAAGTGGTTCTCCTGCCTCAGCCTCCTGAGTAGCTGGGATTACAGGCATGTGCCACTACACCTGGCTAATGTCGTATTTTCAGTAAAGACAGGGTTTCATCATGTTGGTCAGGCTGGTCTGGAACTCCCAACCTCAGGTGATCTGCCCGCCTTGCCTTCCCCAAGTGCTGGAATTACAGGCATGAGTTACTGTGCCTGGCCTTTTTTTTTTCCCTGAAACGCAGAATAGACTTTTATAGGGCTGCACCCGACTCTATAAAACTCTATTATAAAGAGTAAGGCACCCATATTAGCAAAGGTATGAGGTAGACTCATGCTCATGAAGCCAAAAAATGTTAATCCTTTCTAGCATAAAATTGGCAACATAAAATAAAAGTATGGCTGGGTGTGGTGGCTCACACCTGTAATCCCAGCACTTTGGGAGGCCGAGAAGGGCAGATCACTTGAGGTCAGGAGTTTGAGACCAGCCTGGCCAACATGGTGAAACCCTCTCTCTACTAAAACTACAAAATAAAAATTAGCTGGGTGTGGTGGTGCACGCCTGTAGTCCCAGCTACTTGGGAGGCTGAGGCAGGAGATTCTCCTGAACCCAGGAGGAGGAGGTTGCAGTGAGCCGAGATTACTCCATTGCACTCCAGCCTGGGTGACAGGGCAAGACTGTCTCAAAAAAAATTTTTTTAAATAAATAAATAAAATAGAAGTATTAAAAACATAAACGTCTCTAAATTATTTTACCTTCATAAATTGAACTTAAGAAAATAAACAAGGGGGCTGGGCGTGGTGGCTAACGCCTGTAATCCCAGCACTTTGGGAGGCTGACACGGGTAGATTATGAGGTCAGGAGTTCGAGACCAGCCTGGCCAAGATGGTGAAACCCTGGCTCTACTAAAAATACAAAAATTAGCCAGGCTTGGTGGCACGTGCTTGTAATCCCAGCTACTTGGGAAGCTGAGGCAGGAGAATTGCTTGAACCCGGGAGGCAGAGGCTACAGTGAGCCAAGATTATGCCATTGCACTCCAGCCTGGCCAACAAGAGTGAAACCCCGTCTTAAAAAAAAAAAAAAAAAAAGAAAAAGAAAAAAGACTATAAACAAGGGCTGGCGTGGTGGCTCACACCTGTAATCTTAACACTTTGGGAGGCCAAGGTAGGCGGATCACTTGAGGTCAGGAGCTCAAGAGACCAGCCATGGCAACATGGTGAAACTCCGTCTCCACTAAAAATACAAAAATTAGTCAGGCATCATGGTGTGTACCTGTAATCCCAGCTATTTGGGAGGCTGAGACAGGAGAATCACTTGGAATCCGTATCAAAAAAATAAATAACACATACAAAGATTTAGTTATAAGGATGTACACTGCATCGTTATTTTTTTAAATTAATCAATTTTTTTTGAGATGGATTCTCCTTCTGTCTCCCAGGCTAGAGTGCAGTGGCCCCATCTTGGTTCACTGCAATCTCCACTTCCTGGGTTCAAGAGATTCTCCTACCTCAGCCTCCTCAGTAGCTGGGTTTACAGGCGTGTGCCACCACACCCAGCTATTTTTAGTAGAGATGAGGTATCACCATGTTGGCCAGGCTCTTCTCGAACTTCTGACCTAAGGTGATCCATCCGCCTTGGCCTCCCAAAGTGCTGGGATTATACATGTGAGCCAGCATGCCTGCCCTGCATCATTATTTATAATAGAAAAACACTAAATTCAATTTTAATGTAAAAGGATAGAAAATCGTTAATAAAAAGTATCAGGCAGCCATTAGAAATACTTAGAAAAATATGACCAGGCACAGAGGTTCACACCTGTAATCCCAGGACTTTGGGAGGCTGTGGCAGGCAGATTGCTTGAGGTTAGGAGTTCGAGACCAACCTGGCCAACATGGTGAAACCCCGACTTTACCAAAAAAATACAAAAATTGGCCAGGCATGGGGGCAAACGCCTGTAATCTCAGCTACTCAGGAGGCTGAGGTGGGAGAATCACCTGAATCTAGGAGGCAGAAATTGCAGTGAGCTGAGATTGCACCATTGCACTCCAGTCTGGGTGACAGAGTGAGACTCTGTCTCAAAAAAAATAAAAAACGAAAAACTCAGAAAAATATTAAATGACATGGACAAACATTCAAAATATACTGACAACAAAAGGAAATTCACATAAATATTGCACATGTGTGTCTGTACGTGTGCATATACCATCACATTTTCTGGTTTACCTTATGTACATCCTTTTGCAGACGGAGCCCCCAACGCATCAGTTCATTGGTGGCTGCCTCGTTCTTTGCAATTCTCTGCAGCAAGCATTCCAAAGCACTATGGTGTTGCTTGGGGCTCAGGTTGATTTGCTGGGCCAAATCCTAAACAGAATTAAAATAAAGATAACTTATAAAAATAAAGATAACTTCACCAACATGAAGTTAAATAAACCCCAGTATGTCTAAAATGTTTCTCTTTCCCATTGAAGTCGGCCAAAATTTTCAAATATCTTCAAGGGCTTACTAAATATATCTCTTAGGAATATGAATGTGATATAAGGTTAAAAATTGACTGGGAGGATGAGGTGGGTGGATTGCTTGAGCCCAGGTGTTTGAGACCAACACGGGCAACATGGACAAGACTCTGTCTTTGTAAAAAACTTTAAAAAATTAGCCAGGTATGGTGGTGCATGTCCTGTACTCCTGGCTACTCATGAGGCTGAGGCAGGAGGATCACTTGAGCCCAAGAGATTGGGGCTGCAGTGAGCCACAATTGTGCTACTGCGCTCCAGCCTGGGCAGCACAGCAAGACACTAACTCCACAAAAAAAAAAAAAAAAAAATTGAATAATAAAAGAATTTTTAACGTCATTGATGCTTTCTCTTTTGTGATGTATAGATTTTCTTTCTCAAACCATGTTTTGACTTTAAAATTCCTAAAAAAGCCTATGAAACAGGAACAAAGGGGCTTGATTATACCTATTTAAAATGTGGGACCTGGCACACTGGCTCATGCCTGTAATCCCAGCACTTTGGGAGGCCAAGGCAGGAAGATCACTTGAGCCCAGGAATTTGAGACCAGCCTGGGCAACATAGCGAGACCCCATCTGTATAATAAATATTGAAAAAGAAATAAAATTTGGGAAAAAATGTGGAAAAAATGCCATGGGCGAGGCATCCAGCCAAACAAAATAGAAAACCATATTCAGTCTAACACTATATGCCATAGTATACTAGTCATTTAATGTTACCAGAAGTCACTTTTTTACCCAGAAATTGTCATGGTGTTTGACTCATTAATAGGTACTTGCTAAATATTTATTGTTGAGTAAAATCTGACAGGTATGCAGGAAGATTCTGAATCACATAAGTGAGTTCTTTCTTTATTCTTCTGAGATGAACAAATTGCACAGCTGTTATTCCCTCTAAGGCAGTCATTAGGGTCAGTAAGTCTATAGGGCTATATAGATATAGCTCTGTGATCATAAAGTCATCAGGCAACTGGGAGTTGTAAGGAAAAAGCCTTGACCTACAAGGTAGGTGAGAGTAGAATTGGAAGGTAAACATGAAATAAATCTCTCACAGGAATTTGGAGCTTCACTTCAAGCTCTTTACAATGTTACTAAAAACTTTATGTGGCATATGGGTCTACGACAGACAAGGACTGGAAAGTGAGGCAGCAGAGAGAAGCTCAAGTGTGGACAGCCCCAGACAGAGTGTGGCGGGCTGGTTCTTGGGGTCTGGACTCACGCCGCGTAGGTGCCAGCTGCTGTACCCATCTCTGCTACTCAGCCCTGCCCACAGGAGCTGAGACCAACACCCCGAGGACACTCAGGGACCCACAAGATAAACTTCTATCCTCATCTCCTGACTTGTTTGCTTTTTGCCTCATTATCTTCCTCCATGTCTTCAAATAAACTGAAGTCTTTATAAACATTACAATAACTCAGAGCTCTCAAAGAACCTCATTCATGGTCCTATGACCGGTTTACAATTATCCAGCTGACTGCTGAGGATGAAGACAGAGTTATAATCCAGTCCCTCTACTATTCTAATGACCTTCAAAAGGAAGTTCTCATATGCTTTTTCACATCTTGTGTGGGAAGGTATCATGTTTCACAGAGGAGAAAACTGGAGCCTAGAAGAACGGACAGGCCCAGGTTACAATGCAAGCCAACATCAGAGTCGGAACGTGGCTCGGTTCTAACTCAAACTGCTAACCAAAAGGCTGCCTCACGAAGTGGGCATTTTCGGCTGAAAACACAGGACTCCAACCTTCATGGCTCTGAAGTCCTTCTTCATCTTCTCTGGGATTCCAGTCATAAAAGAAAGCTCGGGCAGCAGCAGGATTTCCCCTTTCAGCAGCTTTGAAGAGAGAACGAAGCGGGAAAATAAGCCAGTACAAGAGGCTCATGTTCCCCTGACCCATACAGGACATGCCATGGCCAGGGCTGCTCCTGCAGTGATAAACCTAACACATTAAGGAGTATAAATCCTGGAAGAGAAAGCAGTGAAATGCTAGAAGTATTTTACCCTTTCTCCCTCAGTCACTATACATGTAGCCTGTTGTATCAGGTCAAAGGAAAAATATTGAAACTGTCAAAGGAGTGTAAAAACTAGAAAAAAAAAAAAATCTGTCCTTCTTGGGCCTCAAGACAATGCTAAGACAACGCATCCTATCGCTAAGCAGTGTGCCTCAGTCTCACTGTATCCTACTGGTCTTCAGTCTTCATATTTAAGACAGGACAGTCAGGTGACAAGGCACCTTCTTAAGCCTCTGGCCCTGTTAAAATAAATGTCTAGGCCAGGCGCGGTGGCTCACGCCTGTAATCCCAGCACTTTAGGAGGCCGACACAGGCGAATCACGAGGTCAGGAGATGAAGACCATCCTGGCTAACACAGTGAAACGCCGTCTCCACTAAAAGTACAAAAAATCAGCTGGGCATGGTGGCGGGCTCCTGTAGTCCCAGCTACTCAGAAGGCTGAGGCAGGAGAATGATGTGAACCCAGGAGGCAGAGCTTGCAGTGAGCTGAGATCGCGCCACTGCACTCCAGCCTGGGCAACACAGTGAGACTCTGTCTCATAAATAAGTAAATAAATAAATGTCTATACCTTTCCTCATGGATTCAGAGTTTTAATCTTCCTTCACAGGAAATTCTCCTTAACCCTTTAACCTAATAGCTTATGTGGATATTTAGCTCTGCCTAGTAAGGACTTCTAAAGCAGACCTTACCAGTGTGAGGGGTGCCTCTGGCTAGATGAGACAGACAAACACTTGCACAGCTTTCCGCAACCACACTACGATCACTACTCCACAGCTCCCACAAAGCCATGAGGATGGCTAAAAGCAGCTGACAGGATGAAGAACTTAAGCTGGAAGTGTAGGTCTGACAGTCCTACTCACCATCCCATGATTATTCTGTCTCTCACTGGGCCTGTGAATCAGCAGTGGCTGGTCCTCTTCCTTAATTGTGATCCCATAATTTTTGCTAGAGCAGAGTACACGCAGGAAAAAATTTCAGAAGCGGCATCACTACTCTTAGAGCACCATAGTCTGAGTCTCTTAACCAGGACTGAGGTATACAATTTGCATAACACCCTTGTCAAGGACCCACTAGAAACCAATCATAATATATTTATAACCGGAAAAAGTAGGCTCAAATTATGTTGCAATTAAACATAGGAGAAATAAGGCTAAAGGTTCAGATTTAACATCAGGCTAAAGGCCTTAGGCAATAGAAACATGAAATGACAGTCAAATGATTAATGACTTGAATTTAATCTCTCCAGACTTCTAATGAAATCAGAAAAAGAAATACAATTCAAAGTCCTGAGATTAATTTATATAGTAACTTCCAAATTACTACAAGAATTGAAGCTGTAATGGCAGCATACTGAGGTCAAATCCCACAAACAAACTCATTCAATCTTAGACACATTACCAATTCAATTATTTTGAAAGTGTCAAGTGGTATGCTATTGCAGAACTCAATATCCTCCTGGAGAACGTGGATTACATCCATCCCCCACCCTGAGGCCCAAACCCAGTCTCTTCTTGCTACCTGTAGTATTCTAAGAATGTGATCTCTTTCCCATCAGACATCGTGAAGCTATCCTTTGGAGTCTTATTCCAATCCACATCATCAATACGATAGGTACGATTGTTATATCGGGTGATAACAATATTGCCAACCAGAAGCTTAGTACACTCATCCTGGAAGTGTTCTTTATTCTGCTGATAAATGGCATGCCTTTGGAAAGAGACAAAAGACTTTTGGATCACCGTGTATATCCAGAACAGTATGAAAGGGATAGGGGATCAAGTAATTGAGGAATCTAATCACAGCTATATAGCACCAGAAGGCTCCAGTTGTGTTAAAACACGGGACTCTTGGCCAGATGCAGTGGCTCACGCTTGTAACCCCAGCATTTCAGAAGGCAGAGGCAGGAGGACTGCTTGAACCCAGAAGTTGGAGACCAGCCTGGACAATATAGTGAGACCTTATTCCTTTGGCGGGGGAGGGGAGGAAAAAGCTTAAGAGGACCTGAATTGCAGGAAATAGAGAATATAGGCCTACCAGGTATAATGGCTCACAGCTATAGTCCCAGCTATTTGAGAGGCTAAGGTGGGAGAACTCCTTGAGCCCAGGATATTGAGATCAGCCTGGGCAACATGACAAGACCCCCATCTCTAAAAATATTAAAAAATTAGCCAGGTGTGATGGCATACCTTGTAATCCCAGATACTCCAGAGACTGAGTGAGGTGGGAAGATAGCTTGAACCCAGGAGTTTGAGGCTACAGTCAGCTATGACAGCATCACTGCACTCCATCCTGGGTGACAAAGGCCCTGTTCCTAAATTAATTAAAATTGATTTTTAAAAATTTCATACTTTGAAATACTCATCAAATCATAGAAAGTTGCAAAATCTGGACGTAGAGTCTCATGTACAAAACCGCCATTGCTATAATATCAATAACTAGGCTACAGATCTTACTCCATTTTCATTGTTATTTACATACACTGGTATATTTGTATGTGTATACAGTTTTCTCTCATTTATAGGTTACCACAATCAGATACCAAACTGTTGCATGTCACCACTAAAGGACTATTTCCTGCTGCCCTTTATATTCGCACTCCCCCTCCTTCCCTAGATCTGGTTAACTACCAGCCTATTCTCCAGCTTTGTCATTTTGAGACTGCTATAGAAATAGAACCAAAAAGTGTGCAACCTTTTGAGATTGAGAAAACTTAATCTGGGGGTAGGATGGGAACCCATGGCAAGCCACCTACAAGTGGCAATGGAGAAAAGCAAAGTTCTGTTAGCCTAGATTTGTAGTCTAAGTTGGGGTGAGCAGTGGATCAATCAGAAATTAAGGGCTAAATCCTGGCAATCAGAAAACCATAGAAGGCCACACATCCTTGGCTGACTGGGAAACCATCTATGTTTACAAGACAGCCAAGAAATCTCAGCTAAGAGTTAAAAGCCAAAAAAAATGGGAGAATTACCTCTAATTTTGAATGCATTCTTCAATCTACACACGGATCCATTAGCAGAGATGGAAGCCTTATGGGGTCATGGGGTTTGAGTATAACCGCTCTCCAAATCATTACCCGAATGACTAAGCTCTACAGACAAGGGGGTGATAGCTAGGAGGCCAGGTTAAAGTATGATAATAAGGAAAAACCGAGTAAAGACATCAGCAGCTGCACGCCACAGGGATAACAGACTCTTAGTCTGAATATGGATAGGTCAGTTTAAAAAAAAAAAAAAAAGAAAAATAGGCTGGCTGCAGTGGCTCACATCTGTAACCCCACCACTTTGGGAGGCTGAGGTGGGCGGATCACAATATCAAGAGACAGAGACCATCCTGGCCAACATGATGAAACCCCGTCTCTACTAAAAATACAAAAATTAGCTGGGCAGTGGGTGTACGCCTGTAGTCCCAGCTCTCGACGCTGAGACAGGAAATCACTTGAACTCGGAGGGCAGTGATTGCAGGTGAGCCAAGATCGTGCCACTGCATTCCACGCCTGGTAACAGAGCAAGACTGCCTCAAGAAAAAAAAAAAAAAAAAAAAATCAGAAAAATAAACAATACAGACTTGACAAAATGCATTAAATAGAAAGAAAAATAAGAAATCTCCTGGCCGGCACGGTGGCTCAAGCCTGTAATCCCAGCACTTTGGAGGCCGAGACGGGCGGGATCAGCGAGGTCAGGAGATCGAGACCCATCCCTGGGCTAACACGGTGAAACCCCATCTCTACTAAAAAAATACAAAAAACTAGCTGGGCGTGGTGGCGGCGCCCTGTAGTCCCAGCTACTTGGGAGGCTGAGCAGGAGACTGGCGTGAACCGGGGAGGGCAGAGCTTGCAGTGAGCTAAGATCCGGCCACTGCACTCCAGCCTGGGCGACAGAGCGAGACTCCGTCTCAAAAAAAAAAAAAAAAAAAAAAAAAAAAAAGATCTCCAAATATTTGAAATTACAATACACTCTAAACAACCCACAGATGAAAGGAAAGCACAAGAGAATGAGAAAATATCTTGAACTGAAGGAAAATGAAAAATCAGACAATCAAAAAATCACAGGCTGCAGCTAACGCAGTGCTCAGAGGGACATTTGTGCCTTAAATTACATGAGAATGAAACACAGAACCTACACATTTATGATCAAATAATAACTGACAAAGGTGTCAAAGTCAATCAGTAGGGAAGGACAATCTTTTCAAGAAATAGTGTTGTGATAACTAAACATGTAACGAAAGAAACTCAGACCGTTACCTGACATCACCTATAAAAGTTAACTCAAAATGCATTGCAGATCTAAATATGACTCGAAACTATAAACCTAAAAAAAAACAGAAAATCTTTGCAATCTTGAGTTAGGCAATGATCTCTTGGATATGACACCAAAACCAAAACCTATGAAAGAAAAAGTATAAATTAGACTTCATCAGAATTAAAAATGTCTACTCCTTAAAAGGGACCACTGGGCCAGGCATGGTGGCTCACGCCTGTAATCCCAGCACTTTAGGAGGCTCAAGTAGGTGGATCACTTGAGCTCAGGAGTCTGAGACAAGCCTGGGGAACATAGTGAAACCCCACCTCTACTAAACGTACAAAACAGCCAGGTGTGGTGGTGCATGCCTGTAGTCCCAGCTACTCGGGAGGCCAAGGCATAAGAATCGCTTGAACCCGGGAGGCAGAGGCTGCAGTGAGCTGAGATGGTGCCACTGCACTCCAGCCTGGGTGAAAGAGTGAGACCGTCTCAAAAAATAATAATAATAATAAATAATAAAATAATAATAAATAAATGGGACCACTGGTCAGGTGTGATGGTTCACAACTATAATCCCAGCACTTTAGGAGGATCACTTCAGCCCAGGAGTTCAAGAACAGCCTGGGCAATGTGGTGAAACTCCACCTCTACAAAAAAAAAAAAATTGTTTTAATTAGCTGGACATGGTGGTGCACGCCTGTAGTCACAGCTACTCAGGAGGGTGAGGTGGGAGGATTGCTTGAGCCCTGGAGGCCAAGGCTGCAGTGAGCTGTGATTACACACTGCACTCCAGTCAACAGAGCAAGACTCTGTCTCAAAAAAAAAAAAAAGTCACCTTTAAGAAAAATGCAAAGACAAGCTACTAAATGGAAGAAAATATGTGCAAATCATGTGATACATGCATATCATTCGGCTGATAAAGGATTTGTACTTCTTATATGTAAAGAATTACTGCACAGCTCAGTAAAAACAACAACCCAAATATTTAAAAATAGGCAAAAGATACGAACAGATACTTCACCAAAGCAGACAAATGAATGGGAAGTACACACAGGAAAAGATGCTCTACATCATTATTCACTAGGAAAATGTAAATCAAAACCACAGTTGGATACCACTGTACACTGGTTAAAATTTCTAAAATTAAGACTGACTAAATGAAGTATTGATGAGAATGTGGAACAACCTGAATTCTCAGGCACTGCTAGTGGGAATGTAAAATGGTACAGACACTTTGGGAAAGAGTTTCTTATAAAATTAAATACACACCTACTATATGACTCGCCCCTCCGCTCCCAGGTATCTACTAACTAAGAGAAATGACAGTGTATGTCCACACAAAGACTTGTACACTAACATTTATAGCAGCTTTATTTGTAACAGCCGACAGCTGGAAAGAACCTGGAAACAATGGGTGAATAAACTGTGGTAGAGCCACAAAATGAAACACTACCCAGCAATTAAAAGAAATGAACATTTACAACATACAACAATGCGAATGCTTTCAAAATAACGCTGAGTGAAAGAAGCCAACTGAAAAACAATAGCAGGCAGGCAGGTGGGTGGGTGGGCTGTCGGGTGGGTCTTCTTCCTTGCCCCCTCTTATGCCTATAATCCCAGCACTTTGGGAGGCTGAGCCTAGGCAGGAGAAGTGCTTGGGCCCAGGAGTTCGAAACCAGCCTGGGCAACATAGTGAGGCCCCATCTCTAACAGGAAAAAAAAAAAAAAAAAGTATACAGCTGGGCGTGGTGGCAGGCACCTGTAATCCAAGCTATGCAGGAGAGAACACGGATGGGTGGAGGCTTGCCCAGTGAGCTGAGATTAGCCACCATTGCACTCCAGCACTGGGTGACCAGGAAGAGTCCATCAAAAAAAAAAAAAAAAAAGCACAAGAACATAGTGATTCCATTTACATAAAATTCTAGAAAATGCAGAATAATCTCTAGTGACAGAAAGCTGACCAGTATTTGCTGCCCATGGGGTGCAGAGGAGGAACAGAAGCCGGAAGAGGCTTCAGAGACACCTGAGTACATTTTGGGGCAATGGCTGTGTCCATTTTCTTCACTGCAATGTTTCACAGGTGAAATATATCAACTATATATACATATATCAAAACTCATCAAACTGTATACTTTAAATGTGTGTGGGTTTTTTATGGATGTCAACTGTACCTTTACACACCTGAAAAAAGAAAGAAATTAATGGAACAGAATAAAAGATTCGGAAATAGACTCAAACAGATTAACACTAAGTGTAGAATAAGGTGGTATTTCAAATTTGTAAGAAAAAAGATCACTGACTGGGCACAGTGGCTCATGCCTGTAATCCTAGCACTTTGGGAAGCTGAGGCTGGTGGATCACCTGAGGTCGGGAGTTCAAGACCAGTCTGACCAACATGGAGAAACCCTGTCTCCACTGAAAATACAAAGTTAGCCAGGTTTAGTGGCACATGCCTGTAATCCCAGCTAC